GAGCCCTGGAGGAGCTGCACAGCACTGTAAACACTCAGCTAAATACCTGTCCAGAGGGAGTTGTGATTGTAGCAGGAGACCTCAACCACATCGAGCTCAAGACAGTGCTGCCCAAGCTTCATAAACACGTCAACTTCCCCACAAGAGACAATAAATTTTTGGACCAGGTGTACACAAACATCAGGGGAGCTTAAAATGCTGCAGCAGCCCCACACCGCGGCCTTTCAGACCACATCTCCCTGCTACTGACACCAGCCTACAGACCAGTAGTGTACAACAGAAGCAGACCCACCACAAAGGCTGTGCAGGTATGGAGTGAGGAGGTCACACCATCTCTAGAGCACTGCTTCGACATCACAGATCGGAATGTTTTCTCTGAGGGATCTGATCTGGAGGGTTACACCTCTGCTATCCTGGACTATATAAATATTTGTACTGAGGCTGTACTGCCCACCAAAACAACCAGGGTATTCACAAATCAGAAGCCCTGGTTTAATGGAAATGTACAGTCGCTGCTCAAAGCGAGGTACGTCGCCTACAGGTCAGGAGACCAGCTGGACTACAAAACTGCCAGAAAAAACTTGGCCAAGGGCATCAGAGCAGCCAAGAGCAAATAAAGGCAGCACATAAAGGGACACTTTGAGAACAATGACCCCCGCAGCATGTGGCAGGGTATTAAATCCCTGACTGACTACAAAAACAACATACAGGACAGCAAGGACAGAGATCTCCCCGACACCCTGACCCTTTTCTTTGCTCGCCTAAAGAACCCAGCACAGGGGGGGAGCCTGCACTGGGGTAACCAGATGTCCCACTTTGTGCAGGACAGTCACGCATTTCCATTACTTTTCACACGTCCCGCAAATTGAGACATTGTCCCGCATTGTTATTGACAGTCAGACTTGAAATGCTTGTTTTACAATCTGGCATTTATCAAATGGCTGTGTAGAGAAAGCAGTGAGGGCTGTCATCAGGGAGCTGAGCGGGCTGTTTAATTGTGTCAATCAAACTGGAATGCGGACGCAAGTAAAGGGCACGCCCACTAACAAGAAACAATGCAAATCAGATCAGAACTGCAGCGGTATGCAGCACAACACATGGAGGAAAGGGAGGCAAGGACGACTTATATGGCCAAGAAAAGGAAATGCAGCTACAACAAAGACTGGGACACTATCTATCCCTGGGTGAAACAAGTGCAAGATGAGTCTGGAAAAGTTTAGTGTGAAATTTGCTTGAGTCATTTTAGAGGAAAATGGCCTGCAAATGGACTTTCAGCTTACACTGCTGATAATGCTAGTGTCAACTATGGGATAAACAATTCTGTTTTCCAAAAGCTAAAGGCAGACAACAGTGGCATCATCAAGGCACACTGTATGGCCCACATAGTACATAACTGTGCAAAGCATGCTGGAGACATGTTGACACTGATTCTGATTTTGTAGTGAACAAAATATTCAATCACTTTTCAGTATCTGCACAGCACACAGAGGAATTGAAAGCAGTGTTCACCTTTGTGGAGGAAGATAATCATGTTGTATGGAGACATGTACCCACAAGATGGTTGAGTCTGTGGTCTGCTGTCCAGAGGCTACATGACAGCTGGGCTTCTATCAAGAGCTACTTCTTGTCACTGGGAGAGAATCAGTGCCCAAAATCACTGTGGCAGCTGTTCAAAACAGATCAGGATGGTGAGGGGCAACCCACTGAGCTACAGGCCTACCTGGCTTTCTTCAAGAACATACTGAAGATCTTCCATGATGCTGTGCTGCTGTTGGGGGGACAGGATGAGACCATCTTTGAGCTATATGATGTAATGCTCACTCTCATGCTAAGCTCCAACAGCAAAAAAATTATTCTTTCTTTGGAATGGAGACCAGTGCTATTCTTCAACAGTTTTCTGACCAAAAGGCAAAAAATCAAACATGATGTTTCCAACTTCTATAAGACTGCACTCAACAACCTGGAAAAATGGTATGACTTCACAGACAACAACTACCAGAAGAATGTTGCACGCTTGGCCCTGAAGAGCAGCTTCATATTTTCCAGCTCAGTGATGCCGTGGAGGTCCTACAGATAGGGGAGAAATTGGACATGGATGAACTGTATGAGGAGTACTGTGTGACTCTGCCACACCAGCAGGAAATTGTGGAGAGAAGTGCTCCTGTTGTGGAGAAGTGGTCGATCTTGCTTAAAAGTGCAAAGACACCAAATCTGACTGCTGTTGCATCTTTTCTCTTCAGCATCCCCTTTACCAATGCTTCTGTAGAGAGAATGTTTTCCCTCATGACTGCAGCCTGGAGTGACCAGAGGAACCGTTGCTCTGTGGAGCTTATCAAGAGTGAAATTCAAGTCAAGACCAACTTTGAATACAGTTGGAAGGAATTCTACAGCTATGCACTTCAGCTAAAGGCCTTATTAGAAGCTGCATGCTCAAGCAAAAAGTATAACGCAAAGAGGAACCTCTAAGGGAAGATAAATATTATCTAAGCTATAGATTAGAATACTGTGAGCACTGAGCCAGCGTGGTGCTAGATTTTAAGACAGTGCTCTATTCTTGTGTTTCACCGGCAGGTGCTTTCTGTGGTGCTGAAAGTGCATTGTCTGTGTGGGCTCAGCCTGCCTGCAGTTGTTGCTGTGATGGAGAGAACTGAAAGACTTTTGATGGACAAAACTTTTAGCCAGGTGCTGTCCTTGATGCTGGAGGATCATTGATTGTGTTACTACGATGGACAAAACTGAAAAAATATTGTTCTTTTTAATACACATTTTTGGTTCCTGCTGACCAGTTTTGATATGTATTTCTGGTTTTATGTAGTGCCTAGTTGTATACCCAGTGGTGCCTTTAGGTGGCATTGTCCAGTAAATGCAGATAATTTTAAAATGCATTTCTTTTGTGTAGTTAATCTATGTGATTCTGAGCTGAGTGAGTTTTATTTTGTTAAGATAATCAGCGTATGTACTCCATGTAGCCTAATCCATACATATTCTACTTGAATATGTGGTTCAGTATATTTTTCTACTAGAGCAAACACTTCAATGTGGTGTTTGGAGTTGTGCTGGAGTTGTGTTGTTGCTCTCTGTTGTTGGAGAAAATACAGGCAAGCCATACCCTTGTAAGGCACATTAAAACACTATACTTGAAAGAACAATTGTAGCCTTGACTGTCTGTTCTGTTGGATTGTTCACAGTCAAGTGTGTTAACTTGAGAGGCACTGTGAAATAGCATGAACGCTCCATACTTACTATGTTTTCTCAGGTGAGAGAACTTGGGGAAGTTCTATTTAAATAAGATATATTTGTTAAGTTTTTATTTACAGTCTGTTATGTGCTACCGAATCAACCAGATGGCAAAGCATAATAATGTTATAAGCTAAGGGGCAGAATGGAATTTTTATTTTATTTTATTTTATTTTTTAAAGTTATTTTAGACTACCTCGATGCATTGGTATCCCACATTGTCCTACACAAACGTAGTCTTTGTCCCACATCTGGTGAATTGGGATCTGGTCACCCTATAGCCTACACTCACCTTCCAGCAGCACCAGGTGAGATCCACCCTAATCCACCACAAAAGCAGCAGGACTGGATGGAGTGACAGGCCGCCTACTAAGGACCTATGCTGACCAGCTGGTTGAGGTGTTCAGAACAATCTTTAACTTCTCCCTACAACAAGCTGCAGTCCCCACCTGCCTCAACTCGACCACCATCGTCCTTGTGCCCAAATAGTCTGCTATTACAACCCTCAGTAACTACTGCCCAGTTGCCCTCACCCCAGTCATTATGAAGTGCTTCGAGAGGATGGTGCACATCAAGAGAAGAGATCAGATCTGGACAGTCATCAGTTTGCACAGATCTACAGAGGATGCTGTCTCAGTTGCATTCATACAGCCCTAACCCACCTGGAAGAGCCAAACACCTACAACAGGATGCTCTTTTTTTTAGCAGTGCCTTCAACACTGTAATCCCCCATAAACTGGTACACAAACTCACCAACCTTGGACCACACTATGCTCATGGATTATGGACTTTGTGACCAGCAGGCCTCAGAATGTCAGGATGGGGAACCTGACATCCAGCACTATAACCATGAACAAGGGCACCCTGCAGAGGTGTGTACTTAGTCCGGCATTCTTCACCCTCTTCACCCTCTTCACCCTCTTCACCATGGACTGTGTCCCCACCCACTCCTGTCAGACTGACTGACAGACCATAAACATGTTAATGTGCAATAACAATCTCAACCTAAGCCTTTTTTTTTTTAACACTTTGAAGCAGACATTGCACCATTACCCAAATTTCCCCAAGGGATTCATAAAGTATCTATCTATCTATCTATCTATCTATCTATCTATCTATCTATCTATCTATCTATCTATTACACTTTTTTGCACTTTTTTAAATACTTGTTTTTATTTTTTAATACTTGTTTTTTAAAGCTGTTTGTTGTTGTTTGTTATACTCTGTGTTGTTTTTCAAAAGTGCCAACAACGTTTCGTTAAAGAAATGCAATGACCATAAAAATCCTTGATCCTTTGATCCTCAAAAGTAGAAGGTATCTGTAAGGGGGCCAATACTTTTTCACAGCACTGTTTACCATTTAATGTACATTAGTTCCAAATATCATTTATCTGTCTTTCTTCATTAAAACAATCATACCAGCCATATCAAAAAATCCCTCCCATTTTGCACCCTATATGCCTCTTATTTCATCTGGCAATTTAAATATGGCATTAAACATCACACAGAGTGGAGTACGTATGTTGACTGGCAGGCAGTTACTGAAATTTTGTAGCATTTCGTGTCAGGGTTTTCAACTTGGCTTCTCTACAGCAGTCACAAAATATCAAACACAGCCTCCTTTGACTCAGTTTGTGCACCAGAGAGCATGGTTTGTTTTTCTGTATGATCTGATGGTGCATTTTGTTTGCTGTTGGTCTTGGGGAGTTGAGTATGCTTTCTGTTTAATTTTTGTATTGCTGAACATTAGGCATCTAAAGCCACTATGTGTTGTGCAAACTCATTGTTGCAATTAAGCAAACAACTCTCAGTGGAGACCTCCGAGGCCCTCAAAGCTGCATTGTCAAAGACGAGTTTGGAGCATGACTTGGCCAGTCTGACAAAAATAGAAAGAGAAAAAAAAGAAGACAGAATATTATTGGAGAGGACATTCAATACTTATTATGAGACAGGATTTTGAGAAAAGGTTCACAGGATATCTGGAGATTAAAAAAAAAAAAAAAAAGAAAGAAAGAAAGAAAGAAAGAAAGAAAGAATAAAATGTAGCAAACAAGTGCACACAGAGAATGTCAATCAGAATGAGTGAAATGACAAAAGGAGTGGGAGGGCAAATGTATAGAGTGCCATATGAAGGGTCATCAGTGGCAGACAAATAGTAGTAGTAGTGCTACTTCCCTTTACAATATATAAGTTGACTTAAGGATTTCTTTGTAATAGGAAAAATTTTATAAAGTTGTTAGCTAGGAGCACCAGCTGATAAAGACATGTCACACACGTCAGATGACACTTCTGAAGAAGGCGACAGATAAGACGCCAAAACATGTCAAGGTCCAGCTAACAACTTTATACCATTTGTCCTATTACAATGAAATCCTTAAGTCTATTTGTACATTGAAGACAAAATGAACATCTTTGCTACAATATATAAGTTGGTTCATACTGTATTTCCATTAACAATGGAATATGCATTACATAACTGCCGTGGCTATAATGCACAGTTGACTGAATAAAGTTAAGCCAAATAAACTTACTTAATTAAAAAGGAAAAAAAAAAAACTTTTGATTTGCAGTGACATTAATAAAGATTCAAAATGTATGTATGTATGTATGTATGTATGTATGTATGTATGTATGTATGCATGAATGCATGTATGCATGTATGCATGCATGTATGAGTTTATTATACTGTAAACTTCAACTAAACTACAGAATTTCATTCGAACAAAACCACTCAATACTATACTGTAATTTAGTTAAGGTTTCCAGTAAAATAAACTCTTCTCTCTTTAGCTATCAGGACTGCTTTTGACTACAGTCAAAAGGGTAAGTCACTTGTATGTTTTACCGTTCTCGTAACTACAGTCACAGACATCTAGATGTCAGTATTTTTCCTTTCAAAGATGGCCATAAGGCTTGTCAGCTCATAACAAACAAAGTGTTGAAAAAATTTGATATCCACTGATTTAGATGCTGGACAGCATGGATGATACAAAAAAACTGAGTGGTACAATATATCATTGACTGGTAAAATCACACCTATCGCATCACTTACCAGTGTCTGTCTCCTCCACTTCCATGTTGCTGCATTAAAAAGAGAAAGAAGAAGAAATGATGACAACATGATAAATGAAAGCACTTAGAATCTTTCAACATCTTTCAACTCTGGCTAGAAACTGTGCTCACAAAAGAGACCAAGACTGTACATACACAAAGGTGTGCCACCAATGCTCAGACAAGCATTAACTAAAATACCACTCAAACAGACCTAAATTACACACAAAAGAACTCATCATATTTGGAGGGGGCAAATTGTTTCACATACCTCACTACAATTCCCACCATTACATGAAGCTACTATTCATTTTAGAAATCCTACAAAGCAAACTGAATCATTTAGTTAAGTCCATTTGAATTAAATCTGATATCAACAAGATCATTTGTCCTAGTGGTAAGCACTGAAGCTCTGCTTGAATAACTTTTAAAATATTCTAGAAATATATCTTTTGCTTTTAACAGTTAAAAATAATTCTAATGAAGTTGGTTTAGCTTTATCAGATGCGAAACTAAAAAGCCTACTAGCTATCACAAGAGGCATTGCTGCTACTTAAGCCCAGGTTCATTAAAGTAGTCTACTGTGAATCACCAACTCTCAGACCAATACATTAACCATAATTGGGCAGCTGTGGTTCAGGTGGTAGAGCAGGTTGTCCACTAATTGTAAAGTTGGCACACCTCCACATGTTGAAGTGTCCTTGGACAAGACACTGAACCCTAAGTTGCTTCCAATGACAGGCAAGCACTTGTAGCTCTGCCACCATTGGTATGTGAACATGTGTGTGAATGAAACACAAATTGTAAAGTCCTTAGAGTACCACTAAGGTAGAAAATCTCTATTTTTACATGCACACACTGGCTTATAAGAGACTAAAACGAAGTAGAAAACCCAAAAGTACAGAGGGCCTGTTGGTGGTTGTCTGTACTACACTTGAGATCAGTAGTCAACAACAAATTCCTATTAACAACATAAGCTATACAAAGCCCTCAAAAGATATGGAGGTGAACAACATGATAAACAAGATCAGCATTCTCCCATGGTATCTTCAGGATCTTTTTCTTTCATAAAACTTTAATGTACTACTTTGTGATCAGAACAAAATCCAGTTTGTTTTCCTTGGCCCAACTCAGCAGTTTAATCCTTTGAGACTGCTCAAAAGACTGATTCATATACAGGAGTTTTTGTCACATGCTCATACAGTTTGTGCAGTGAAATGCAAAGTGACTGTTCTCAAGGCTGTGTAACAACACTGAGACATTATGTAAAGGACAATTCTTTAAAAGACAATAGAAAATTTGAGTCACAATGTCATAAACTATTATGGTAGGGATCTTAAACTAAAGCGCAGCAAACATTATGTAACAGTGCAGTTGTGTGTGTGTGTGTGTTTGTGCATAGACCAACGTGTTATATGTTATTTACATATCAGACTGAGATGCATCAGCATTTGTCTGAGCCTTATTTACAACGACAGGTCTTTCCACAAGTGGAAATAAAAAGAAGAATAAAGAAAATAAAAATAAATAATGTGGCAACATAAAGCAATATTAATCAAAAATGAATCCATAAAAGAAAAGGCCAATAAAAGTAGAAATATAAAGACAAAAAAATAAAATAATTAAAATAACAATAATTTATTTATTTTTATTAATTAATTAATATTTGCATTTTTATCTGTTTATTTATTTTTATTTTTTATAATGTCGCTTTTAAGGCAAAGGCACAAGGACATTCCTACTGGGCACATTTTTCTGCGCTTGCTCACATCTCCAAAATCGTTGAAGCTTAATTTTAGCAAGCTTCATCTTGATCCATTGACCACAGATTTGATGTTTATACCACTACTTTCTCGCCTAAAATGATCTTAAAACTACAATATGTGGCACAATAACAGTAGTAGTTATAAAACAAAAACCTGTGTTACCTTTGAAAGATTTCTCCTCTGCTTTTATCGCTGTTTGGCGAGAAATGCATTCTGGGATACTTGCTGTCCCAAGTCTACACAAGGTCGTTTCTCAATACTCAAGGCCGCAAATCCATACTTGCGTACTATTCCTTCTGCGCCTGCGCACGACATTCCTACTGCACACATTTCTCTGCACATATTTCCTTTGCTTTTAAAGCGACATTTAAGAAAACACTTTAACAGCAAAAAAATATATAAATAAATAAAAATAAAAAATAAATAAAAATAAAAAATAATTTAAGAAATATTAATAATTAAAAGAAATTCACTTTAAAATTTAAAAAAATTATTTAAAAAACAATTAACAAACTAAAAATAAATAAAAATGATAAATAAAAAGGGCTAGACTTATAGACAGACAGCCAAGCACACTCACATTCACACCTGCGGGCAATTTGAAATTACCAATTAACCTCAACATGTTTTTGAACCTTGTGGGAGGAAGCCGGAGAACCCCAAGAGAACCTACGCTGCAAGATCCCGGTGCCCCCCACTGGGACGCGAACCGGCGACCTTCTTGCTGCGAGGTAACAGTGCTAACCAACGGTGCCACCCTGCAGCCCAATAATAATAATAACAATAGCAATAATAATAATAATAATAATATTAATAATAATAATAACAATAGTTATGAACTTTATTTACATAGAACCTTTCACACAATAAATGCAGCTCAAAGTGCTTTACAACGGTGTTACATTTACTAAGTGCTTCACAATGAACATGAAACGTGAAAAAAAAAGAGATGAATGAAAATAAAGTGAAAGTAGAAAAATTACATGCACCCCATTTGTTAATGATGACTGTAAAATTTATTTTAAAAAAAAGAGATCACAGCATTTAAACATGGACTGACTTTTGGAGCCAGCACCGCATATTATGTGAAAATTCATTTTCCACTCTTAAAAATGTCTTCACATAGCATCGCCTAACTCTGCTTCATCAGCGCAAGGCCAACCTCATCCAGCTGGCATTTGAGAAGGACTTGACTCGGATATTTAGGAATGAGTGGAAGGACAGGATTTTGAGAAGGTTTCACACAGTCCACAAATGCTGCCTGCCACTCTACTAAAGGGATTAAACCTTGGGCCCCAACACACACCTCACAGATACTCCGTCGATACTCCTAGTCAAATTAACTTACATCACTTGCAGGCAGAAGGGTCACACTGCTTTGTTCTGCTCCTTGTGCTCCCTAGCTGCTGTAGCTACCTCCCCAAGCATGATTGTTTACTCCAGTGTTCATTTGACATCAGTGCTTACGTCTCTAAGAGAAGTGAAGCTGCATGGTGCTGCTCTCTGTACGCCCCAGCCCCTGTTGCTGTTCTTGACTTTTGAGTTGAATAAATGGACACAGCACTACACTACTGTATTTACTTTAAAGAAAAAAAAAATAAAGAAAAAATAATATATCTATATATACATATATTAGGATGAACTGCCCTTTTTGAGATTATTTGTCAATACTGTAGGAGTGGCCGCAGAGCTACTGTTCAGCCTGAGGCAGACAAAATGTAGGTTGAAAAAGTATGCCCCAGGGACATTGTTTTGGTCAAACATTTCCACACTGTGGGAAAAGCCCCCATAAAAAAAAAGGATAATCCACAAAAAAAAAAAAAAAGAAGTAGGGCTGCCTACATTTGGCTATCCAGACTACAATAGATGCTGCTAGTTGGCTGTACTTCACTCAGACATGTCTGACCAAATTTACCTTGAAAAGAGTGACATAAGGTGTTCTAATGTCAGATATACCCAAGTTAAGTCCAAGAAATTTACATATGCAATGTGCAATGTTTTCCATGTGTGAAGTGTATAAATGTCAATACCACGGTAAATTATGCTCATTAGGAAGATAGAATTATGATTGTGATTAGTTTTCGTGTAATTTTGAAGCAACGGTACTGCATTAGCTATTGTGAATCCACACGTGATTCCACACATTAGCTGTTCTGATTCCACACATCGAAACAGCTAGCTACTCTAGATGGCATTGTCTTGGTCTCCAGTTCTACTGTAAAGAACCTTGGAGTTATTTTTGACCAGGACATGTTGTTCAACAGACACATAAAACAAGTTTGTAGGACAGCCTTTCATCTACGTAATACTGTAAAAATTAGGAATATTCTGTCTCAGAGTGATGCTGAGAAACTAGCCCATGCATTCATATCTTCTAGACAGGACTATTGTAATTCCTTTTCCAAAATGCTGTGGCCAGGGTTCTGACAGGAACCAGTAAGAGAGATCATAGAGATCATATTTCTCCCATATTAGTTTCACTTCATTCCCTGTAAAATCCCGGATAGAATTTAAAATCCTGCTTTTAACATATAAAGCTCTTAATGACCAAGCTCCATTTTACCTAAAAACCTTATTGTGCAATACCATCCTGGCAGAGCCCTTCGCTCTCAGACTGCAGGTCTACTTGTGGTTCCTAGAATTTCCAGAAGTAGAATGAGAGGCAGAGCCTTCAGTTATCAGATCCTCTCTTATGGAATCAGCTCCCAGTTTGGGTCCGTGAGGCAGACACCCTCTCTACTTTTAAGGTTAGGCTTAAAACCTTTAAGCTTATAGTTTGGGCTGCTCAGGATCACCTGAACTGTCCCTTAGTTATGCTGCTATTCGATGGTTTCCTCCCACCAGTGCCGACTGCTTGCTCAGAGGAAGTCCAAAGGCATCTTTGGATTGTTGGGTTCCCTGTTTAAATTTATACGGTCTATTCCTTACCATGTTATGCGCTGTGAGATGGCATATGTTGTTAACTGCGCTATCAGTTATCAAAATAAAATTGACTTGACTTGATTGAATGTAGGCCTTTTTTTTTCCTTTACTGGGTCAGTTGTTCCCACCCTGCTTACACCTGCACTCCTTATCATAAGGAGTGTTTAAATCGGGACCTCTTGCTCTGAACGAGCCTCCTTCTCTTGCTCTTCGTTTTGTTTAGTTTTTTTAAATGATCACCTGCAGACTGCCTCATCATTAGAACTCACAACAGCTAAATGGATTGTTTCATACATCAGGTAGGGAGATTCAAGATCGCGCCGGTGACAACAAGCTGGACAA